CCGCAAGTCGGTGCAGATCGCCTACCACCGCGCCATGCAGCACCGCAACAAGGTGCAGGGCGAGCAGAGCAGCGACTCCAGCGAGAGCGACTGAGCCCCGGCCCGCCGCTGACCCTTGCCGAATCTCAGGGCAAACGGGGCTCGGGGAACAGCCCTCCCCTCCCCGTGCAGCTGGTCTGCACCCACCGGGGACGGGAGGCACCGGGGAAGGAGTGGGGGGGGGTGGGTAGGCCTCACCCTCCCGGTGCCTCTGCTCTCCAGGGGCGGTTCCCTCCCACCCTCCCCCGTGCTGCCCAGCCAGCTCCCCCCTCCCCGCGCTCGGACGTTGTTTGTATTTATTTTGAAGGAAGGAAAAAAAGAAAAAAAAAAAGGAAAAAAACCATCAGGAATCTATTGATTCTTAGGAAAATAAAAAACCCGGGCCGCGCTTCCGGGCGGCGGGCGGAAGTTGGGACAGAGCGTCGCCGTCGCGCGGCGGGGGAAGGGAGCGAGGGGCGGGCCGCTCTGCCCTGCGCGGAGGGGGAACTCTATGGTGCGGGAGCCGGGTGTCATGGCGGAGGGGGGCGGCGGGGCCTGACCCGGCCGCGGGGCCGCGGCCCCCATGAAGCTGCGGGACTCTCCCTCCGCCTGCCCGTCCCTGTGGCGTTCCCTGCCCTGCCCGCCGGCCGAGCTGCGCCTGGATCTGGTGCTGTCGTCGGGGCAGACGTTCCGGTGAGGCCACCCCGGGGTGAGGGGCGGGGGGAAAAACCGCGGCCCCCGCCATGGCCTCGTCCCGGTGGGGTCAGGGCCGGCCCCGACCGCCTGGTGTGCGGCAGGTGGTGGGAGAGCAGCCCCGGGGCCTGGACGGGAGTGCTGGGGGAGCGCGTCTGGACGCTGAGGCAGGAGCGGGACCGGCTGTGGTACACGGTGTACGGCGAGGAGGGGGCCGGGCCTCCCGCCGGGGCCTCGGGGGCCGAGACGGACCGGATCCTGCGCGACTACTTCCAGCTGGAGGTGGGGCTGCCGGCCCTGTACCGCGCCTGGGGGGCGGCCGACCCCCTCTTCCGCAAGGTGGCCCGTGACTTCCCAGGTGAGGTGGCCACCCGCGGGGCCAGAGGGAACGGGCCACGGGCACCCACCCAGCACCTCCTCACTGCATCCCGCCAGCAGGGGTGCGGGTGCTGCGGCAGGACCCCGTGGAGTGTCTCCTCTCCTTCATCTGCACCTCCAACAACCACATCTCCCGCATCACCGCCATGATCGACCGCCTCTGCCAGGCCTTTGGCCGCCGCCTCTGCTGCCTCGACGCCCGGCCCCTCCACGCCTTCCCCTCCCTCTCGGCGCTCACAGGTCCACCATGGCCCCGACGCCACCGCTGCCACTCTGCCACGGCCTGGCCCGTGCCCACCCCTGTCCCACCGCTGTCCCCCTGCAGGCGCTGACGCCGAGGCCCGGCTGCGGGAGCTGGGCTTCGGGTACCGGGCCAAATTTGTGAGCGGGAGCGCAAGGGCCATTGCCGAGGGGCTCGGTGCCGAGGGGCTGCGCGGGCTACGCACTGTGCCTTACGCCGAGGCCAGGAGGGTGCTGTGTGCTCTGCCTGGCGTTGGCACCAAGGTGGGTACCGGGATGGGAGTGGAGGGGGAGCAGCGCCGGTGGCGGGGGCTGATGGTGCTGCCTGGTGGCAGGTCGCCGACTGTGTTTGCCTGATGGCCCTGGACAAGGCGGAGGCGGTGCCAGTGGACACCCACGTGTGGCGCATCGCCCGGCAGCGCTATGGCGCAGCGCTGGGCGGCAGGAGCCTGACCCCCCGGGCCCACCAGGAGATCGGTGAGGGCAGGTCTGATCCTGATGTGGGACCCATGGGGACCATGACCCCAGTGCTGGCGCTCACCCTCTCTTCACAGGTGATTTCTTCCGTGGGCTGTGGGGTCCCCGTGCTGGATGGGCACAGGCGGTGAGTACCCCCTTCCCAGGCACGCCGGGGCTCAGCCCTCGCCTCCCACCTCGGCTATGCCCACCCTGTTGCCTCTGCTCACTCCAGGTCCTCTTCTGCGCCGACCTCCGCAAGGGCCAGGAGCCAGCCAGCAGCCAGGACCGGGACAGGAGGAACCAAGGCCGGGACAGCCGCAGGCACAGCCCTGCTTAGGGACACTCCGGGAGGGACAGAGACCCCCCCACGGTCAGTGGAGGGGGGGATCACTGCGCCAGCTCCCTGCCTGGAATCTGCAGGGATGTGGGCAGCTGCCTGTTCCCTGCCCATTGTGTGCTTGGGGCGAGCTGTGGCCCATGGCAGTGTGGCTGAGGGTAGGGGGGTGTCAGAGCTGTGTTTGGCCCCTCCCAGGGCAGAGCCGAGCCAAGCCGTGTTGGCCTCTTGGCTTTATTACAAGCAGTAAAATAGAAACATCCATTTGGAAAATTCTCCTTGAACATGCTGGGGGTGTGGGGCAGTGCCGGGGCAGGCGTGACGGGAAGGGAAGGAGGGAGGGAGGGGGCCCGGGACGCAGCCCCGAGCC